CCCTGAACGCACCTTCAACATGCCCTGAACGCACCTTCAACATGCCCTGAACGCACCTTCAACGTCCCCTGAATGCACCTTGAACATGCCCTGAACGCACCTTGAACGTCCCCTGAACGCACCTTGAACGTCCCCTGAACGCAGCAGAGAGGAAGAGGAGTCCGTACCTATAGCCGGGGCGTTGATGCAGAGTTCTCTGGCCAGCAGGAGGAAGGTTTTTCCCAACACGTACACGTTCACCTGCGGACAGAACACGGACACAGAACACGTTGGAGCGCTCATGAGAGGCGGGCCATCCGTCTGAGCAGAACCGGACACATCGGACCGGTCCGGTTGCGACAGACAACCAGGGGGTTGGGGTCAAAACAGGTCAGTCAGAAGATGTGCACAGGTTCATCAGTCTGCCTAAAACCCTAAAACTAGAGGAACTACTTCAGAATAAAGTTAAGTTCCTCTCTGAACCTGAGAGGAATTAAACCTCTGAATTGGGGGGGGGGGGGTAAGTATGAAATCAGTCTACACTGCTGTTCCACGTTTCATTTTAGAGATCTAGATCCTGCAGGAACCGGACCATAACAAGAGCCCGGGTGACAGAAGAGGAGGTGCTGTGATTTGTGGAAAACTGGAACGGCAACAATCAAAGCTGAACCATCAAAATAAAAGCATGCAGCTTTCAGGACAAAAGCAGGAAAAGTCTAAAGTTAATTTGATCAAACGTCAACATCTGCCCGTCCCAACCCCGGCGTGTTTGAAGAACTGTAGAACGGCGGAACGTTCCGTCAGGAGCGCCGGAGAACACAGAGGTCTCTGAAGTCTCAGGAAGCTTCAGTCTCTTAAAGAACGCAGGAAGCAGCGCGTGGCCTCGGGTGGACCCGTGTAAAGAGCCTCCAGAACACGCTGCATTAATAAAACCACAACCCCACCCACCAAAAACCCACCCCGGTCTCCAAATACCAGGGCGTGCACTGCGGGGAGGGACCAGCAGCTGGTCCAGGACAGCTGGGGGCATAAAAATACCCCACCCAGCTGTGACTCAGAGAAACAACCGCTGCCCCCCCCCCCCCCCCCCGACTCACCGCGAGCTGGAGTCAATAAATCTGCAGACAAATGAAGGGGTCGAAATTTAACCCCCTCAGGTTTGGGAGGGGGTCTGAGCCGGGTCCAAACTCGTTTCTAGAACTTTATCACTAAAGTTTCTGAACTTCTATTAAATATTTGATTTTTTTTTTTTAAATAAAGGAAACAGAATTTTCACTTTAAACATTTTATACAAGAGTTTAATTAAAATAAAAAAGCGAACCTGTAAAACGTCACTGAGGTCCAGCAGCATGTCTGAGGAGACGGGTCAAGGAAACCGGATCAGGGTTGAAACTCTTCGTTCCGTCCACGTGGACCAGCAGACCGAGTCCGGTACACTTCCTGAAAGGATACGTGGCGTTCCCTCCGTGCGGCAGACCAGGTAGATGCAGGCGGCGATGATGTGCGCCGACTTGTGCCCGCGGGTCAGGCTTTTGTTGAGCGCCATCTTGTAGAAGTTGAAGGCCGTGTCCAGACAGTGCTGGCTCATCTGCAGCTGGTGGCCCAGAGTGTTGATGTGCTGTTTAGCTGAGGCGGCAGAAGAAAAACTTACTTTTGGTTAATGAGCGTGAGGCGTTGCTGCTCAGCACCGTTTGTCCCAACAGAGCCACCGTAGCTTCCTGTTGTTCGTCAGTTGTGACGTGTTTTCAGTAAAAAAAACTTTAAAGCAGGTTTTGGCACAAAGTCAGTGATAAACACAATGCTAGCTGCGTTAGCTTCTCTAAGGAGTTTTCAATGCTACGTTAGCGTCTACACTAATTTTAATTAGCCTAACCTGTAGACTTTTATGCTTTGTTTTTTTTTAATCCTGCACAGAGTAATACGTAATAATCCATGTTTTTAACGTGTAAAACAAAAACAGTTAGGTTTTATTTTACCGGATAAACAAAACGCATCAGAGGCCCCCGCTGTTTTTAGCTTTCTGCTAAGCTAACGGTCGTGTTTGTGTTGTGAGAGAAAGAACCAGCGGAGGACGAAGGATCTCTTGTTCCTGTCATCCTGGGCCTGGAGACAGCCTGGACCAGGGTTTGAACCTTAGAACTTCTTGCTGTGAGGCACCAGTGCTAACTACTAAACCACTGTGTCACCAATAAGAGAAATAACAGATATCATTTCCAGGACTGCGTTGCGGCGAGATTAACACAGATTAACAAACTGAACCGGGTTCACCTGGTAGAGTACTGAGCTTGAGAACTCCATGACACCACAGCAATGTAAAAAAATAATCTGGAACCAATCTGATAATCTGCTGCTGTTGGGTTAATTCTTTAAGTTTCCAGAACGAGCCGAATGTTTTGGCTCACAAACAGCTAAAATAAAATCTGCAGTAATCCAACTGAATAAATGTGATGGTTTCTCGACTGGAGACTTCTCAGATTCTCCAACTGTGAGTTTCTGCAGCTACAAACTAGAACCTTCAGCTGCAGCGCCCCCTGCTGGTCTCTCACCGTTCTGGAGGGTCTTTGCTCGAGACTCGGACCCCAGACCAGAGACGTGTCCATCTCCGAAGGACGGGTTCTTCTGACCTGAAGAGAGAGAAAAGAGCTTAAAACAAATACTTCAAAACTAAAGGTTTTGTCGTCAGAAGAAATATTTTTAATTAATCAACTAAAATAAAAACAGGCTACAAACATTATAAACGTTTTACAGCGTCCCCTGGTGGACAGTCACCTGAACTACAACAACACTATTATATTTATTTAACTTTATTGAACTATTGAACATACAGAACAAAGGAACACAAGAACAAAATAACAAATGACAATCTCAAATTACAATGATACATATAAACATGTAAAAATATCTTCCATCATACCTCCGAAGGTCAACATATGCTTAAACAAATTAACATATTAACCACCATAAATTTAAATTTAGGTAATATTATCAGAAAAATTGCAAATAATATGGTACAAGTAAAAGTAAAAAAAACATTTATCTAACATTCTACATATTACTAAAATAATTTGTCTGAGGGCTATATTATCAGAACGAGCATCCAACACCTTCATGGTGGACACTCACCTGAACTACATCCAACAACTCTCCCTGGTGGACAATCACCTGAACTACACCCAACAACGCCCCCTGGTGGACAATCACCTGAACTACATCCAACAACTCCCCCTGGTGGACAATCACCTGAACTACAAGCAACAGCTCTCCCTGGTGGACAGTCATGTAAACTACAACCAACAACTCAGCTTCCCCTGGTGGACAGTCACCTTAACTACAACCAACAACTCAGCTCCCCCTGGTGGACAGTCACCTTAAC